GGAATCTCTGGCTCAGGGGGTGAATGCCCCTCTGCCCCCCAGCCTAGTCCTCTGCCTTCATAAGGGCATTGGCTAGGCAATCAGATCTTTAGCAGGAGAATCTCTGACCTTGGGGGTAAATGCCCCTCTGCCCCCCCCCCCCCTCCCTCCTAATAGGCATTCAGATCTACAGCAGGGGAATCTCTGGCTCAGGGGGTGAATGCCCCTCTGCCCCCCAGCCTAGTCCTCTGCCTTCATAAGGGCATTGGCTAGGCAATCAGATCTTCAGCAGGAGAATCTCTGACCTTGGGGGTAAATGCCCCTCTGCCCCCCCCCCCCTCCCTCAGCCTAATAGGCATTCAGATCTACAGCAGGGGAATCTCTGGCCCAGGGGGTGAATGCTCCTCTGCCCCCCAGCCTAGTCCTCCTCTGCCTTTATAAGGCATTGGCTAGGCATTCACATCTGCAGCAGGGGAATCTCTGACCTTGGGGGTAAATGTTCCTCTGCCCCCCAGCCGGCTAGGCATTAAGATCTGCAGCAGGGGAATCTCTAGTCCAAGGGGGAATGCCCTTCTGCCCCCCAGCCTAGTTATCGCCTACTATCATAGTGTCATTGGCTAGGGGGGAATACCTGGCCCATGGGGTAAATGCCCCTGTGCCCCCTGGCCTAGTGCTCTCCTATTATCATAATGGCATTGGCTAGGCATTAAGATCTGCAGCAGGGGAATCTCTGGCCCTGGGGGTAAATGCTCCTCTGCCCCCCAGCCTAGTCCTCCCCTGCCTTCATAATGGCATTGGCTAGGCATTCAGATCTGCATCAGGGGAATCTTATCAGTTATTATGTTTTTGGGGGGCAAATTCACTGAGCATTGCTCAGCACCCCCATCCATAAGCCCTTTATACTTTGTGTTACATCTTGTGTCTAATGTCAGATTTATTTTCAAATTTGAACTCCCGACAAATATTGCGAATATGAGCAAACGCTCTTCTATTATATCACTGTCCAGTCACAGGTTGGGGCACGTCCGGGATGACCTGGGATCAGAGACTGTGGGTTAAATTATGCTGACCATCGGACCTCTAGTGGCAGAAAAAAGTACTGCAGGGGAAAGTACTGCTGATAGGAGAAGAGAGCAGAGTGAGCTCATCACTGTGCTGCTTCCTCTTTCACTGTCCAGTCACAGGTTGGGGCACATCAGGGATGACCTGGGATGAGAGACTGTGGGTTAAATGATGCTCACCATCGGACCTCTAGTGGCTGAAAAAATGTACTGCAGGGTAAATCTCTGGATTGAAAATGAATACTGCAGCAAACGCTCGTTTATTATTTCACTGTCCAGTCACAGGTTGGGGCACGTCCGGGATGACCTGGGATCGGAGACTGTGGGTTAAATGATGCTGACCATCAGACCTCTAGTGGAAGAAAAAAGTACTGCAGGGGAAAAGTAATGCTGATAGGAGAAGAGAGCAGAGTGATCTCATCACTGTGCTGCTTCCTCTTTCACTGTCCAGTCACAGGCTTGGCGAGGGTCCAGGATGACCTGGGCTCAGAGGAAGTGAGTTGAATGATGTTGGCCATCTAGTGGAAATGAGTGAAGGTGACTAATGCAGCAAAAGCCGGTTTGGTTTTGTCATCTTTTAACAGGCCGTTCTGTTTAACCTCAATGACCAATTTTAGAGCCGGGCAGAGCGGGGCCGGTGCTGCGCAGGGACCATCTCACCGCCTCCTCCGCCACCACTGCGATCATTTATTCCCGGGAAGTAAATATTTGAAGGCTTTCACACGCTCTAATGATATTTTCCCAGCCGGCTTTCTGAATACTGAGAGGCGGACACAATGGGGAAAAATGGCTTTTATATTTTTATTTTATTTTTTTTTTTTGGGGGCGTGTTATTTTTGAACAGCAATATTTTATCTCCTCTGTCACCCAGCAAATAATTATCTCTACCGTTTGTTGTCGCTGTTTGATGGCGGTCTGGACTGCGCTGGCTTCAGATCGCGGTAATGCTTTGAATTACGCCAAGTAGATGTGTGTCTGCAGGCATTGCCACAATCGGGCCCCTTCAAAGGGCGGCTCTGCGCCGGGTTCCTTTTGTTAAAAAAGACTCGCAATTACGGTAAGCGTCTGTGCTGAACTAGGACGCCGGGTGATATGCGCAGAGCAGGCGATTTTAATTATTGAATATGAACTCCAGAAGTGCCTCTGATTAGTAGTTCCCGACAAAAAAAAAAAAAAAATCCACTTTGTGGGCACCACATGCCTTTTGCAAATTCAGGTATTACGTGGTAAGAGTAGCATGACATCATCACAGCGTGTGCAAAGAGCAGAGATGTGGGAGGGGCCCAGCAGGCTACACTCAGTACAGAAACTCAAGGTGTAGGCGGAGACTAGCCCAGTCACCCTGCACACAGAGAGAGAGCAGCAATCATTGGTCTTTATTTCAGGAAAAGTTTCACTGTCAGGACTTGAATCGCCTGCTGGTGGCATTGTGCTTCCCAGACTGGAAGGTTGTTGTTCCCATCACCACCAGCGGGTGTCTCTCAGCAGCCAACATATTCCAGTAATCATTCTCCACCTGATGCTGGCTGCTGGGAGGGTATTCAGTCCCTTCTCTACTATGACACTTCGGGTCAGTGTTTTTGCTTTACTGCCAAATATTTCTAGCTGTTTATCCTGTGCCTGTTCTTTACCGTGCTTTTGCACTTTACTCACACCTTGAACCTTGCTGCCTTGTTCCTACTCCCCCTTTTTCCTGATCTCAGTGTTGGTTCCCCTTTCTTATATGTTCCCTGTGAGTTTGATAGGAAGGATTTCTGTTATGTTATATCTTTGCTGGTGTTTGGATGGCTTTTTCTTGTTTAACTTTTAATAAATTCACTGAAAAATTGTGTGTGTGTGTGTGTGTGTATATATGTGTGTGTATATATGTGTGTGTGTGTGTGTGTGTGTACACATACATACACACACACATATATGTATATACACACAACACACACATATATATGTGTGTGTGTGTATATATATATATATATATATGTGTATGTATATATATATATATATATATATATATGTATATATATATATATATATATAATATCAGGGGCGGACTGACCATTTAGGCATTCGGGCACTGCCCGGGGTCAGTAGGGGGCCCCATGAGAAGCCCCTGGTACCTTTCATAGTCTTTTTTGAGTGTGGGCAAGGACACAGGGACCCTATGATTTCCTGTTGCCGGGGGCCCCATGAGTTGTCAGTCCGCTCCTGATATGTATAGATGCATGTAGTATGTATGTGTGTGTATATGTATGTATTCGGTTTTTCGTCGTGGTGGCAAACCTGAACGCACTCCTATAGAATTCTGTTTTAAGAGGGCCGAGCCGGGGGTGTGATGGCAAAGCTGACCACACTCCTACAGGCTGCTGTTGTAAGAGGGCCACACAGGGGTGTGGCTGTAAAGCTGACCACGCTCCTACTGGTTGCTATTGTAGCAGAAATGGATGTGGGGGCATGGCGGAAAAGCTGACCACACTCCTATAGAATGCTGTTGTAGGAGGGCCAGGCAGGGGGTGTTTTGGCAAAGCTGACGACACTCCTATATAATGCTGTTATAGGAGGGCCGGGTGCAGGGGCGGACTGAGAACTCATGGGGCCCCCGGGCAATAGGGGTTCATGGGGCCCCTGTGTCCTTGCCCAAACTCAAAAAAGCCAATGAAAAAGGTACCAGGGGCATCTCATGGGGCCCCCTACTTACCCCGGCCCTCAGGCAGTGCCCGAGTTTCTAAATGGTCAGTCCGCCCCTGGCCGGGAGGGGGTGTGATGGCAAAGCTGACTACACCCCTATAGAATTCTGTTGTAGGAGGGCCAGGAGGGGGTGTGATGGCAAAGCTGACCACACTCCTATAGGCTGCTGTTGTAGGAAAGCCAGGCAGGGGGCGTTTTGGCAAAGCTGACAACACTCCTAAAGAATTCTGTTTTTAGGAGGGCCGGGAAGGGGGGGCGTGGTGGTAAAGCTGACCACACCTCTACAGGCTGATGTTGTAAGAGGGCTGCACAGGGGTGTGGCTGTAAAGCTGACCACGCTCCTACTGGCTGATATTGTAGAAGAACTGGATGGGGGGGGTGGTCATGGCGGCAAAGCTGACTCTGGAAGTACAGGTACTGTAACTCTGCTCAGCTAGACCAAGCAGACAAACTAACCATGGCCATAGAGATCTGCTTCTGTGCTTGCCCTGGTCAGAGACTGGGAACAGGCAGGGTCACTAGGAAAAGGGACCGCAGGAACAGGGCCTGCAACATGTCAGTGACCGTATTATTGCATTCCTCTATGTACTGTATAATCTATATAAATGCCGAGGATTCCATCCACTTTAAATATCCAGCAAGGCCTCGGCTTATCTCAGGCCTGGCTGATCGCTCCAGTTGGACGTCCAGAGGCCTCCACAACATCGATGTTCCTTGTCTAGACACGGGTTTATGGTTCGTCCTCGGCTGATGTACAATAAACCAACTTTCTCTATCTGGACATTTGTCACCTTGTTGAGATGTTTTATTGGAGGGCGTTTTTTATTCTCTTCTGTTTTGCCGTTTCATTAAAAGGCAATCTTTCCAGCTTGTCAGTTGTCTGGCTTCCAGCCCCTTTGTATTTCGATGTCGTGGTGGTTTGTTTTTTTTCTCCTGGTCACACAGTTGAATGTTGATGGATCTTTCTGTTCAGCCAGGCAAGTGAAGGGAAATACTATGTTAAATCCCTGTTAATCTTCCCTTTAGAGAGCTCTGAGCCGCTGGGAACGGCAGAGGCTTCCTGTGGGCTGCTATGAATTCTCCTGTGTTGGGAACACGTTGGAACATTTCAGAATGGTAAACTGGATCTGCAGCACATGGATATGGGATGCCGGCCGATCTGTTGGCGAGTACAGCAATATCTAGAGCAATGGTCTCTAAACTGTGGCCCAGGGGCCAGATATGGCCCTTTGCTTATTCTTATCCAGCCCTTGGGCACTCTTCTTCTCTCTGATAAAAGGCACTATTCTCCCCACTGACACCAATGATGGGGCACTATTCCTCCCACTGACACCAATGATGGGGCACTATTCTCCCCACTGACACCAATGATGGGGCACTATTCCTCCCACTGACACCAATGATGGGACACTATTCCTCCCACTGACACCAATGATGGGGCACTATTCCTCCCACTGACACCAAAGATGGGGCACTATTCCTCCCACTGACACCAATGTTGGGGCACTTTTCTTCTCTCTGATAAAAGGCACTATTCTCCCCACTGACACCAATGATGGGGCACTATTCCTCCCACTGACACCAATGATGGGGCACTATTCCTCCCACTGACACCAATGATGGGGCACTATTCCTCCCACTGACACCAATGATGGGGCACTATTCCTCCCACTGACACCAATGATGGGGCACTATTCCTCCCACTGACACCAAAGATGGGGCACTATTCCTCCCACTGACACCAAAGATGGGGCACTATTCCTCCCCCCACTGACACCAATGATGGGGCACTTTTCTTCACTCTGATAAAAGGCACTATTCTCCCAACTGACACCAACAGTAGGCCATGTTTCCTCCCATTGATACCAATGATGGGGCACTCTTCTTCCCACTGACACCAACACTGGGACACTATTCCTCCTCTTAATACCATAGATAGGGCATTGTTTACTTCCCTAACACCAAGACATTTTATACTTCCACTGACACCAATGATGGGGCACTCTTCCCTCTGATAAAAGGCACTATTCTCCCAACTGACACCAACAGTGGGCCATGTTTCCTCCCACTGACCCCAATGATGGGGCACTATTCCTCCCACTGACACCAAAGATGGGGCACTATTCCTCCCACTGACACCAATGATGGGGCACTTTTCTTCACTCTGATAAAAGGCACTATTCTCCCAACTGACACCAACAGTAGGCCATTTTTCCTCCCATTGATACCAATGATGGGGCACTCTTCTTCCCACTGACACCAACACTGGGACACTATTCCTCCTCTTAATACCATAGATAGGGCATTGTTTACTTCCCTAACACCAAGACATTTTATACTTCCACTGACACCAATGATGGGGCACTCTTCTTCACTCTGATAAAAGTCACTATTCTCCCAACTGACACCAACAGTGGGCCATTTTTCTCCCAATGACACACATGATGGGGCACTATTCTTCCCACTGACATCCAACAGTGGGACATTTTTCCTCCCACTGACACCAACACTGGGACACTATTCCTCCTCTTAATACCACAGATGGGGCATTGTTTACTTCCCTAACACCAAGACATTTTATACTTCCACTGACACCAATGATGGGGCACTCTTCCCTCTGATAAAAGGCACTATTCTCCCAACTGACACCAACAGTGGGCCATTTTTCCTCCCACTGACCCCAATGATGGGGCACTGTTCTTCCCACTGACACCAACACTGGGGCACTATTCCTCCCCCTAATACCATAGATGGGGCATTGTTTACTTCTACTGACACCAAGACATTTTATACTTCCACTGGCCCCTAAAGTCTGAAGGACAGAAAACCAGCCCCTTTGGTTAGAAAGTTTGGAGACCCCTGATCTGGAGGATAAACTGAATTGGATGGAACATAGAGGAGAAACGCTGTGCAGTGACACACCAGCCAATTCAAATGTTCATTACAGCAACCTGGAGTAAATAGATAAATGAAAGCTGATTTTTGATTGGCTGTTCTGTTACTATCCTGTGCGTTTTGGTTTATTGCAGATCTTTTTATTTCCTTTTTGGCATCTATTATGATAGTCTTTTGTTTGCTTTCCTTCTGTCTTTCTGCTCCAGTTATCTTCTCTCCTCACCCTTGTCTTCTCTCCTCACCCTTGTCTGCACTCTTTTCTTCCCTTTACTTATTTTGTCTTTGCTCTGCTTATCTGCCCATTCCCTGGCAGACTTTCCCTTTTCCATTGCCTTCTATACCCTTCTATTGCTTTGTTGCCATTTCCCTTCCCTCTCCTCCACTTCTGCTTTTTCTCCCTCCTCCTTTCACATCTCTAGCCCTTTCCCTTTTCTTGCCTTTGCTCTTTGTTACTCTTTGCCCTTCGCTATCCCATGTCCTTTGCCAACACAAGCCCATTGGCGTATCTCACTCTTGTCCTTTCTCAACTCTTGCCCTTGTCCTTTCTCAGTCTTTTTTTTTGCCATCTCTTGCCCTTGTCCTCTGCCAACTCCCAGCCTTTGCCATCCCTCACTTTTTTCCTTTCTCAACTCTGTGCTTTGCCATCCCTTGTCCTTTCTAAGCTCATCCTTCGCCAGCTCTCACCCTAAACTTTTGCTAGTTCTTGCCTTTATTCTCTGACAGCTCTCACCCTTTTAAATTTTCAGCTCTTGCCCTTGTCCTTTGCCAGGTTCCACCCTTGCCGTTTGCCAGCTCTTGCCCTTGGCCTTTGCCGCCCCCCTTGGCCTTTGCCGCCCCCCCTTGGCCTTTTCCGCCCCCCTTGGCCTTTTCCGCCCCCCTTGGCCTTTTCCGCCCCCCTTGGCCTTTTCCGCCCCCCTTGGCCTTTGCCGGGCCCCCCTTGGCCTTTGCCGGCCGCCCCCCTTGGCCTTTGCCGGCCGCCCCCCTTGGCCTTTGCCGGCCGCCCCCCTTGGCCTTTGCCGGCCGCCCCCCTTGGCCTTTGCCGGCCGCCCCCCTTGGCCTTTGCCGGCCGCCCCCCTTGGCCTTTGCCGGCCGCCCCCCTTGGCCTTTGCCGGCCGCCCCCCTTGGCCTTTGCCGGCTCTTGCCTTAGTCCTTTCAAAGCTCTCACCCTTGGCCTTTGCCAACTGTCGTAAATCAAAGACGAATTCTCCTGCGCTCTAGGACTCAGACAGGTGGCGAATAGATGGAACCAGGCCTGGAGATATCGTCCACCAATGCATAAAGGGCTGTGCGGCTCCAAAACAAGGCTGGGGAAGCCCGATCAATACGGCAGAATGAAATGAAAATGAGAAGCACACCAACCTTGCGCATTACCTCAGTAACCAAAAAATTTATTAATTGTAAAAAATATACTCACAAACAGCGAATGAAATCAGGCATGTAAGTCCTCACAGGGACTTGAAGATAGCGTGAGTCCCATCAAGGGAATGGGTGTTCAGTATAGCTGACGCGTTTCGAAGGGGGTCCTTTCTTCATCAGAGCTCTGGAATTTTGGTTACTGAGGTAATGCGCAAGGTTGGTGCGCTTCTCCTTTTCATTTCATTCTGCAGCTTTGCCAACTGTCGCCTTAGTCCTTTGCTAGCTGTCACCACTGCACTTTTCCAGCTCATGCCTTAGTTCTTTGCCAGCTCTCGCCCTTGTCCTTTGGCCAGCTCTCGCCCTTGTCCTTTGGCCAGCTCTCGCCCTTGTCCTTTGGCCAGCTCTCGCCCTTGTCCTTTGGCCAGCTCTCGCCCTTGTCCGTTGGCCAGCTCTCGCCCTTGTCCGTTGGCCAGCTCTCGCCCTTGTCCGTTGGCCAGCTCTCGCCCTTGTCCGTTGGCCAGCTCTCGCCCTTGTCCCTTGGCCAGCTCTCGCCCTTGTCCCTTGGCCAGCTCTCGCCCTTGTCCCTTGGCCAGCTCTCGCCCTTGTCCCTTGGCCAGCTCTCGCCCTTGTCCCTTGGCCAGCTCTCGCCCTTGTCCCTTGGCCAGCTCTCGCCCTTGTCTCTTTTCTCCCCTTCCATTCCTTTCTCCCTCCATCTCTCCTTCATATTAAAGGAAGACAAGTAGTATCTCTGGTGAATGAGAGTTTGCTTGCAGCCGCGGCTCAGGCTCAGTATTAGTCTGCAGTGTTTAGTGAGTTGCTGTGAAATGCCAGAAAGGGAGAGTTCCTCCATCGAGGTCATTGTCAGCTCCGGGGAATCAAGGAAAGCTTTAAATAAGTGGAAGAGGAATGATGTCACTGGACTTGACACTTTTTCCATTTCCAGCCCATGTCGAATGCCAACAGAATCATTTGCGAAATGAAACTGAAGCCAGCAAACTCCAATAATTACCTTCGTACCCGTGGCTGGATCTTAAAAAGGAACTTAATTAATGGGCACATAATTATCCCATTCAACTCTCAGAAAATGGCAGCTCTTCCTGTGGAAAAAAAATTCTTCTATAGGCGGCCTGCCTCTTACTGCCAGATACAAGTGCAGAAATTAAAATGTTAGTTCCTGTGCGTGTCCCCTTCTTTCATCATGTGTCATTAGTGCTAGAAAAATGCAGTTCCCATGATTCAGACATTTTCCTACTTATAGTAAAGGAGTTACCTGATTAGATTTGATTTCTGCAGTGGCTCATTTCAGTGAATGTTCGTTACTTTTCTCTCCTCTCGCTGTTCTTGTTTCTCCCTCGTCTCTCTCTCTTCTATATGACTGCTATGTAATATTCGCAATTGCTGATCACAGAAGCGAAGAATGATCACAGTTCTACTAAAAATATTGGTAGTCGCTAGCATTGGAGTCCAATATGTGCATGCGATGCGTTCGTGGAAATGGGGTTCAGTAAGTATGTAAAAGGTGAACAAAAAACTGTCAGATGAAAAGTGAACACGTTACAAGAACAGCTTTCAGTATATAATATATTCTGATATCTGTTGTGAACATTTACCTTCCCTGTGTTGAGTTCCCAAGTCTGCATACCTGCTGTGCCCATTTTAAGGGGTTCCCACCCTCCCTGTTTTGCATTTCTGGGTCTCATTGTGAGGGACTCCCACCATCCCCTGAGTTCCTGGGTCTGTGCTCATTATGAGGGTTCCTGCTGGTTCCTGGGTCTGTACACCAACTGTGCCCATTGTGAAGGGTTCCCACCATCTCTGAGCTGAGTTCCTGGGTCTGTACCCACTGTGCCCATTGTGAAGGGTTCCCACCATCTCTGAGCTGAGTTCCTGGGTCTGTACACCAACTGTGCCCATTGTGAAGGGTTCCCACCATCTCTGAGCTGAGTTCCCGGGTCTGTATACCTGTTGGGCCCATTATGAAGGGTTCCCACCATCTCTGAGCTGAGGTCCCGGGTCTGTACACCTCCTGTGCCCATTATGAAGGGTTCCCATCATCTCTGAGCTGGGTTCCTGGGTCTGCACACCCACTGTGCCCGTTATGAAGGGTTCCCACCATCTCTGAGCTGAGTTCCCGGGTCTGTATACATTCTGTTCCTATTATGGGAAGTTCCCATCATCTCTGAGCTGAGTTCCTGGGTTTGTATACCCGCTGTGCCCATTATGAAGGGTTCCCACCATCTCTGAGCTGAGTTTGTGGCTCTGCACACCCGTTGTGCCCATTATGAAGGCTTCCCACCATCTTTGAGCTGAGTTCCCAGGTCTGTATACATGCTGTTCCTATTATGAGAGGTTCCCATCATCTCTGAGCTGAGTTCCTGGGTTTGTATACCTGCTGTTCCTATTATGGGATGTTCTGATCATCTCTGAGCTGAGTTCCTGAGTCTGCACACCCCACTGTGCCCATTATGAAGGGTTCCCACCATCTTTGAGCTGAGTTCCCGGGTCTGTATGCATGCTGTTCCTATTATGGGAAGTTCCCATCATCTCTGAGCTGAGTTCATGGGTCTGTATACCTGCTGTGCCCATTATGAAGGGTTCCCACCATCCCTGAGCTGAGTTCCTGGGTCTGTATACCTCCTGTGCCCATTATGAAGGGTTCCCACCATCTCTGAGCTGAGTTTCTGGGTCTGTACACCTGCTGTGCCCATTATCAAGGTTTCCCACCATCTCTGAGCTGAGTTCCTGGGTCTGTATACGTACTGTGCACATTGAGGGATTCCCACCAACCCTTTGAGTTCTCAGGTCTGCACATATGTTTTTTTTGTCCCATTATGAGGGTCTCCCACTATCTCTAGACAGAGTTCCCCAGGTCTGCACAATGACTGTCCATTATGAGGGGTTCCCACCATCCCTGTGCTTAGTTCCCAGGTCTGTACACCTGCTGTACCCATTATGATGGGCTTCCACCCTCTATGCGCTGAGATATCTGCTCTGCTACTCTCTATGTTGAGTTTCCAGGTCTGCACGTCTGCTTTCCTTATTATGAGGGGCTCCCACCATCCTTTTTTCTGAGTTCCCCAGATCTGCAGACTGGCTGTGCCTATTATGAGGATCTTCCACCCTCCATGTGCTGAGTTCCCAGGTCTGTACCTTACTCAAGATGGCCACTGGCAGAAATGCAAGGGGGTGTTTTTCAAAAATGATTTGTCAGCATAATAAAGCCTGGAGACACGGATGGATGGAGGAGTTGGTTTTGAATATTAAATATGAATTCTGTAGCCTTTTTGATTTGTGGTGCTCAGGTGCAGTATAGTTCCACTTTAACCACTTCCCGTCCACAACATGTACATAAACGGCCAGACGGGAGCAGTGCAGGGGCTGGTGGCTGTTTATAAACGTCCTCCCGCTTCCCTGCCTGTGCACGCTCCCTGGGACACTGATCGCTGTACGTGACTTCTGTGTGAGGTCCTGATCATGTGATCACTGATGGGCCAATCAGTGATCACATGAAGAGTAATAAGCAACATGTCACTTCTGACGTTAATTTTATTTATTTCAGGTACTAATATAACGCTGTCAATTTACTATATATATATATATATATAATTACATTCACATCAGTCCCTAACCCTCAAGGGGCGTACATTCATGCATACACATACTATGGACAATTTATACAGCATCCAATTAACCTACCTGCATGTCTTTTGGAGTGTGGGAGGAAACCGGAGTACCCGGAGGAAACCCACGCAGGCACAGGAAGAACATGCAAACTCCAGGCAGGTGGTGCCGTGGTTGGGATTCGAACCAATAACCCTAATACTGCCAGGCGGAAGTGCTAACCACTAAGCCACTGTGCTGCCCCATCATTGCTTACTACATGTGAAATTTGTGAATGATTAGAGGTCACATGGTACAAGGCTATTCACCATGTGACAAGTTGTGACCAATCACAGCTCACACAGTATTTCTCAATGGCTGCAGGAATGCAGCCAGAGAGAAGGAGAAATGATTGCTTTTACAGCCTTTATGGGTGTAAAAGCAATCAGTGTAAAAAAAGAAAAAATAAATCTTCATCACCCCCCACAAGTAGCAGAATGTCACTATGGTGACACTGTACTGCTAGGGTGACAGTATGTAAAAAAAAAAAATTATAAAATAAAAATGTAAAAAAATGTTTTGAAAAATTATAATTTTTGGTTATAAACTAATTTGGGTTTTTTTTTGTACTAAAAAGATAACTGAATACATTTTGGCCAAGATTTATGAAGAAAGCTTATTTATTTGCAAAATTTTATAAGAAAAACACTTTTTTTTTCAAACTTTTTGGACTTTTTCATTTATATAGCAAAAAAAAAAAAAAATCCCAGTGGTGAATAAATACCACCAAAATAAAGTTTTTTTATCTGTCTCAAAAAAAATGCTAAAGAATTTATACGGGTATTGCACAATTGTCATTCAAAGTGCGATCGCACTGAAAGCTGAAAAACTGGCCGGGACTGGAAGGGGTAAAAAAAGTGTCGGGACTGGAAGGGGGTAAAAGTGTCGGGACTGGAAGGGGGTAAAAGTGTCGGGACTGGAAGGGGGTAAAAGTGTCGGGACTGGAAGGGGGTAAAAGTGTCGGGACTGGAAGGGGGTGAAAGTGTCGGGACTGGAAGGGGGGTGAAAGTGTCGGGACTGGAAGGGGGTGAAAGTGTCGGGACTGGAAGGGGGTGAAAGTGTCGGGACTGGAAGGGGGTAAAAGTGTCGGGACTGGAAGGGGGTGAAAGTGTCGGGACTGGAAGGGGGGTAAAAGTGTCGGGACTGGAAGGGGGTGAAAGTGTCGGGACTGGAAGGGGGTGAAAGTGTCGGGGACTGGAAGGGGGTGAAAGTGTCGGGACTGGAAGGGGGTGAAAGTGTCGGGACTGGAAGGGGGTGAAAGTGTCGGGACTGGAAGGGGGTGAAAGTGTCGGGACTGGAAGGGGGTGAAAGTGTCGGGACTGGAAGGGGGTGAAAGTGTCGGGACTGGAAGGGGGTGAAAGTGTCGGGACTGGAAGGGGGTGAAAGTGTCGGGACTGGAAGGGGGTGAAAGTGTCGGGACTGGAAGGGGGGGAAAGTGTCGGGGACTGGAAGGGGGGGAAAGTGTCGGGACTGGAAGGGGGGGAAAGTGTCGGGACTGGAAGTGGTTAATCTTTATTTGTATATAAAATAACACCGTTACATTATTATAAAAACAAATCCCGTGGAAGAAGCTTCCTTTTTATTGTATCGGTGCAAATCTCTGCTTTTTTTTGTTCCGGGTGCGGTCACTCCTACCCCTCGGCATGCCAGGACCAAGTAGCTTTGCAGCAGCAAACAAAGGCCTCCAGAGCACGGTGAGGGCTTTTCTCTGCTGTGTTAATGGTTCCCTATTTCGAAGGAAACTTCTTGTTCCTTTCAGTCCGGATTTTCCTCCCGCCGGAGCACACGGTCTACAATGTGTGTGTGTTGGTGCCTTCAATGGCCTCTTAGATTGCATCGGCCCCTGGAGAGCTGCTTTACAAGTGGTCTTTTCTCCCTCCCGTCTTCATCTTACAAGGTCTGTTCTCAGGCTTTTCGAGGACTTCTTTTTTTTTTTTTTTTTTTTCAGCTTCTTTGACTTTTGCAGCTGTGCAGATGCACTCGATGCTTCTCGGTGAGGCTGGCCGCCTGCTGTGGCTGGGAGATCTGCGGCCTTTCATCCAGCCGGTCGGTTTAAAGAGCTTCCCGCTATACACAGTCTATGGCTTCATTTTGCTTTTAAAAGGTCAGGCCAGGTAGAATGGATGGGTCCAGTTTTGGGTAGACGAAGGACTAGATTAGCCATGAGGTTCTTCTCCTCTTCTTCGCTGCAACTTACCACCATGGCTGCGGCGTCAATAATGGTCGGGATTGCCTTGTTCACCCCAGGAATGTTTCTGTTCATTTTTGGAGTCTTAGGCTTCATGTACACAGGCAGCTCCTAAACTCGAATTTAGGAGCTTTTGGCATTTTTTTTCCAAAGCTCCTAAACTCCACTCCATAAAAGCCTAGGTGTCCATGCAGGCCCGGATTTAGGGGGGCTATGCCCCCCCCAGATTTTAGTTGTGCACCCCAAGACCTCTGAGAGTGAATCCACAAATCCATGAGAACTGATGGGGAAACAGCTGATGTAAGGGGGCACTCTGATTGGGACAGCTGATGTAAGGGGGCACTCTGATTGGGACAGCTGATGTAAGGGGGCACTCTGATTGGGACAGCTGATGTAAGGGGGCACTCTGATTGGGACAGCTGATGTAAGGGGGCACTCTGATTGGGACAGCTGATGTAAGGGGGCACTCTGATTGGGACAGCTGATGTAAGGGGGCACTCTGATTGGGACAGCTGATGTAAGGGGGCACTCTGATTGGGACAGCTGATGTAAGGGGGCACTCTGCTTGGGACAGCTGATGTAAGGGGGCACTCTGCTTGGGACAGCTGATGTAAGGGGGCACTCTGCTTGGGACAGCTGATGTAAGGGGGCACTCTGCTTGGGACAGCTGATGTAAGGGGGCACTCTGCTTGGGACAGCTGATGTAAGGGGGCACTCTGCTTGGGACAGCTGATGTAAGGGGGCACTCTGATGGGGACAGCTGATGTACGGGGGCACTCTGGGGCAATTGATGTAAGGGGGCACTCTGATTGGGAACTGTGCACACAGCTTTTAGCAGAGTTTAGGAGCTGCCGCGTTTAGGTGAGGTTAAACCTCCCTCTGCTGAACTCTGAAGAATCGCGTTCAGGAAAGGAATGTTTTGACCGCCAGCTGCGGGAAACCGCAAAACTGCGGTACCACGATTTGCGGTTTCCTGCGGTCAGGGTAGGCTCTTGTACATGAAGCCTTATGCAAGGGAAGCAAAACGCATTAGGCCAAGGGCAGCACAGTGGCTAAATGGTTAGCACTTTAGCCTGGCAGTACTAGGGATCGTTTGTTCAAATCCCAACCACGGAACCACCTGCTTGGAGTTTGCATGTTCTCCCTGTGCCTGTGTGGGTTTCCTCCCACCCTCCAAAGACATGCTGGTAGGTGAATTGGCTCCTGTCTAAATTGTCCCTAGTATGTGTATGTATGAATGTGAGTTAGGGACCTTAGATGGGAATAGGGACTGATAGGAATGTACAATTGACAGCGCTATACAAGTACAGTGGATATAAAAACTCTACACACCCCTGTTAAAATGTCAGGTTTCTGTGATGTAAAAAAATGAGACAAAGCTAAATCATTTCAGAACTTTTCCCAACTTTTTAATGTGACCTATAAACTGTACAACTCAGCTGAACAACAAACTGAAATCTTTTAGGTGGAGGGAAGTAAAACTAAAAAAAACTAAAAAAATGTGGTTGCATAAGTATGCACACCCTCATGTGACCCTAAAACTCCGCCCCACCTCCTGGCATCACAAATCCCTGGGCTGGGAGGCGCTGGCGCCAAGGGGTTAAGCTGGCCATACATTTATCAGTTTTGTCGATCAGCCAGAGGGGTGTTTGGGGGAAAAAAAACAAACAAAAACTGCATGGATTCCCCCATTCACACAAGCGAGGTGGATGGAGGAATCCTCCTGCTGTGCTATTGTACTCTGTCAAAATATACTGATCAGTGCTGCAGCCAGCTGCCTGCAGCACTGATCGGAAAAAAAGTATTTTCCAACAAGTCCACTCAAGTCACGAGCTGGAATGGCCGTACACGCATTAAGGTTTGGCCGGTCCCTGCTGAGCCAGAAGAATTTTGATCCATCTCTGGCCAGCTCTGGTTTTGGGTGAGGGGACCCCCATTGGTGTCTCCCGTGCCAGACTCTCATATTTTTATACAGCCAGCCACAGAATGACTTGAAATGCCCCTAATTGTTCTTGTCCGCCAGCTTGCAACATTTAGATTCTGCAGACAAACCGCAACCCCGCCATTAAATCTTCGATATCCCTAAATGAGATTTTCTTTCCTTTTGTCCAAAGACGTCCTGCGGCCATCCCACGTAGAGGCGTGCAGTCTCCTCGTACGACGCGGCGAGCAGAGCGAGAACCTTGGAATCGCTTCACATTCTTCTGCAGCTTTAAAGTGTCTCACGAGTCTCGGCATGCTACAGGATAAAAGAGGAAAGTCTGAATTCCGCAGTCCTGGCTTTCTAGAAACT